GCTAATATTAGTTTGTATGGAATAAATCTAAATCTCATATATTTACCCACAAAAAAAAAGAATCTACATCTTATAATGCAAACCGGAGAACCAAATATATGAACCATGCATATTGTTGTCAAAAAAATAAAAAAAATAAAAAAAAGAGCTACTATCCTCTATCCACGCATAATGGTGGCGAGTAGCCGTCCATTAAGTCCGAAAAGAATTGTACCCAATATTAATTTTGTAAGGGTTGGTATGTGTAGTTTAAATTGGAAAGGAATTTTATTCTAGGTAATTTATAATTATATCATTAAATTGTATAAATTGTTAAGGGCATAAAAAGTAGTCCTTTCAGCTGCTTCGTCAACACTATTATTCATCACCGTTGTTGATTCTTGAAAAGCAATCGCTTCAGAATGTTCCAAATTCTTGCACATATTATAATAATCCTTGCAATTATTAGAAGCCAACAAGTCATCAACACAACTCGTTACCTCATCAGTGCCATCGGAAACATTATTCAACGTCGTGATTGTGCAAGTTTCAGATGAATTGTTAACATGCTTCAGCTTCTTGAAGGCGCAGAGAACAAAATCTCTACAGTCTTAGTCGAACTTGTGAAGAATAACCTTAGAAAGCTCGTACTCCTTCATGAACCAGCGTCAATCTTTCTCATCTTTAGGGTAAAACTCTTTATTCACGTAAGACAAACTCATCTTGGATCCAATATTAACCACTGAAGATACGTTCCCCATATTTTTGTAGTGAACTGGTTTGCCCTTGGCGTCCTGTTTCCAGCTTCCCTTGTTTCCGACAGCACGATGATACCTCGCCTTCCTTTTCTTTTTCAGCTTTGTAATAAAGTAGCGATAACTACTGTTGTCCTCATATCACCAAAGGGTACTCCATTATCATATGTTTCTCAGGGTTCTTAAGGTTGAAATCGGAACACTTGGTTACTTAAGGTTGACTTAGAAGGTCAAGTTTGACTTCGGTTAACATTTTGAGTAAACGACCCGGGAATCGTAATTTGATGGTTCCAATAGGTTCGTATGATAATTTCAGACCTGTACATATGTCTGCATCAGGTTTTAGATGACCCGGAAACGTTTTGGCGCTTAATAGTGAAAGTTGATTCCTTAAGAATTTTAAAGTTCTTTAAATTTGGTTTGGAGCGGGTTTTGTGTGAGGTCCGAATGGAATTCCGAGACCGGGAATAGTTCTGTATTGTCATTTAAGACTTGCAAAGAAAAATTTGGTGTCATTCCGGGTAGCATAAGTACGTTTCGGCACGTTGGAAGTAGATTGAAAAACTTGAAGTTCATAAGTTTGATTCAATTGGTTTTAGGATGTGAATCTTAGATTTAGCATTGTTTCAGGCAGTCCGACAGTTCGAGCGAGTCCGTTTTATGATTCCAAACTTGTCGGTATGTTCGGGCGGGGCCTCGGGGGCCCCGAGCGTCAATCGGACGAGGCTCGAGCTAAGAGGGAAATTTGAGAAGGAGCTGAAGCTCCAGTTCTGTCATAACCGCACCTGCGGTTGGCCAGCCGCAGGTGCGAGACCGCAAAAGCGTCTTACCAATCGCTGATCCGGCCCAAGGGGAGGAGCCCAGGTTCTGCAGATGCGGCTCCTCTTTCGCAGAAGCGGTCCCCAAATCGCAGATGCGGCTCCAGCTAGCCCGGCCCAGTTCCGCAGAAGCGGAAGATCCCTCGCAGAAGCGAGACCGCAGATGCGATCCCCTAACTGCAGGTGTGGAAATGGCTGAAGGCAGTGCCTTCATTTAATACGGGAATGTGTCATTTTTGACACATTTCATTCATTTCTTGGGCGATTTGGGAGCTTCCAAAGAGGAGATTTCGGCCTAGCATTGTGAGGTAAGTTATTTCTACTTATTGTGAGTTTCATACATAGTTTAGGGGTAGATTACACCATGTAAATTAGTGAAAATTGTGGGTTTAGATTAAAACCTAGGGTTTTGATAAAAACAAGATTTAACCACGAAATTCGTCATGGAATGAAGTAAAAATCATATATTCTTGATCCTTAGGTTATGGATCCTTTGAAAATTTCGGAACCCGGGCACGTGGGCCCGGGGGCGAATTTTTGGAACCTTGCCTTTGGGGTTGGATAATCACTTTAATAGATAGAATATGAATTTTTAAACCTATAATGATTGGTTTTTACACTATTTGAATAGTTTCGGATTGTGCGGCTCCGGTTTGAGAGTTTGAACGTGTTGTTGAGTTGGAAGTAGGCTCGAAACAAGGTAAGTCTCTTTTCTAATCTTGTAAGAGGGAAATCTCACCATAGGTGAACTTAATTTATATATGATCGATTATGGGGGGCTACGTACGCACGAAGTGACGAGAGTCCGTACGTAGCTACTATTCCTGTTATGTCCGGGTACTTCTAGGCTTACACCATGCTTTGTGGGTACCGTTATGTGATTTTAATTGTTGATTTGCATTGAATGGGACTAAGTTGAAGATGTTATGATTTCAAGGACTTCAAGTAAATATTAATTTTGATAAGAATTGAGGGAAACATTAAGTTATATTTATACTTAATCGCGTCGCAAGTATATTCCGTGAGCGGGGCAATTGTTTCCACTACTCTCTTGGGAGCGGGCCGTTCGCCTCGGCAGGATAGTAAATGTATACATATATGGTTCGGGCCGTTCGACCCTCGGCGGTGCACAGTTTACTTTTTATGTTGTATCGAGTCGAACGCCCTCGGTGGTATTTGTGTGTGATAATAGAACCGGAACCCTTATAATTCGTATGATTTATTGCTTGAAAGGTCACTTATTTTAAATGAGGAAAGTGCCTAGTTTTATTAATTGGAAAAAAGGATTTTCAATAGTTATTCTTGTTGAGCTTGTGTTATCTACATACATTGTGAATTAAATATATTGAACTTCATGTTATTATATTTGCTGGCCCTAGTAACTGTCGGAGTCGAACCCTCGTCACTACTTCTGCGAGGTTAGGCGAGATACTTACTGGGTACATATTTCTATGTACTCATGCTACACTTCTGTACTTGATTGTACATGCTTTGAGGCAGGTGCATCTGGCCATCAGTCCGGCGCATAGAGTGGACTCCTCAGCTCAAGACTTTCCGGTGAGCTGCCCTTTTGAGCCGATCTACAGCAGCTGGAGTCTCTCTTTTGTTTTTATGTTCCTGTCTATTTCTTTTCCAGACAGTAGGATAGTATGGTTTTATATATACTACTAGATTGCCCACACACTTGTGACACTAGGTCTTGGCACATGCATTGGTAGACTTATGATGTTTTGGCTTGTTTTCATGGCTTAAATTCGCACTTATTACTTCCATTTAAATATGCTTAAATTCTCAAACTCTAAATTTCTTAATTAATAATAGAAAGTTATCACGTACTAACAACTCAAATGAAAATTACTATTCGATTGGTGTAGGCTTGCCTAACAATGGTGTTGGGCGCCATCACAATCTTATATGGAATTTGGGTCGTGACAAAAATCATGCATCTCTTTTCCAGCGATGAATCTCAACAAGAACATAAGTCCTTCTAAACTGTGGACGAAAACGGAAACCCTCTTGACCAAGCTGTTGTAAGTGCTCCATGAATCTCAACCTTTGAGTGACAATGAAACAAAAGTGGGAAGAAAGTACTGTAATAACTTGAAGAGAGGGAATGAACTTTGAGAGTATTACACTGGATTTATAGTCTAAAATACCTCCGTTTAGGAAATTATTACTTAGGCAACAATTAAGTAGGGCTTGCGCTGGTTAATTATTTCTTCCACCCAAAGTAACAACTTATGGAAACTTTTCTTTTCCCAGTCATATATGGAAAACTTCTGTTTTTTCATATTCATATTTGTATCTCTTATTTGGCCATAGTTCCATCTTTTCTATGATTAAAGAGAGTTATTATTACTATAATTTTCAACATTTATATGTACTTACTTTGTAATATATAGAGACAATGCCAAATCATCATGCCCCAATTAGATTCCAATTCTATTTTTCTTTATACTATAAGTTAATTTAACGTATGTGGTGTTTGAGACTTTTTTTTCCACCCAAATAAGCTATCCATGGCCCCACGCAAGACATTTAAAGAAGTAAAAAAGTTCATATTAAAAAATACACAATTCATATCATATTAATAAAATAAAATTCGACTTCTGTTATAAATATATTATATTATGGATGTTCATTTAGTACTCCGTTGTAAATAAGCTTCCTGAAGAAGCTTATGCATATGGGACTCCGCCGTAAATATATTTATCTATTTAATACTCTATTGGAAATAAGCTTCCTGAAGAAGCTTATCACTTTGGTACTCGGTTATGGATAAACATTACCCACGGTAAAAGATTATCCATACCGGATACAATAAGCTTATCCTTTCGATACTTCGTTATGGATAAACATTACCCCCGGTAGAAGATTATCCATACCGGTTTCGATACTCTATTATGGATAAACATTACCCCCGGCTGAAGATTATCTATATCTGGTACAGTAGCAGCTTACACAGCAGCTTGCTTTCTTCTATAAATAGAGGAGATTTCAGTTTATTATGTACATAAGTTTGATGTTGAATAATATATCAGTTTCTCTCTATACTTGTCTTTAGTTTATTTACTTTACAGTCGTTATTTTATAGTAACACGTTATCAGCACGAGACTCTGCCATCTCGAGCAAATACTTTGAAAGTATCTGAGGTACGAACTTTCTTTTTCTAAATAATTTCAAATCTTTCTAAACTTGAATTTGTAGCCCTGGATATATCGGGCAAAAGCTACATGTCTTGGGTGCTTGATGCTAAAATTCATCTTGATGCGATGGGTCTGGCAGACACCATCAAGGATAAAAATCAGGCATCATACCAAGACCGTGCTAAAGCAATGATATTCCTACGCCATCACCTTGATGAGGGCCTGAAAATGAAATATCTCACTAATTAAAGATCCAGTCATACTGTGGACGAATTTGAAAGATAGATATGACCACCTGAAGATGGTCGTTCTTCAACAGGCACGTTATGATTGGACTCATCTAAGGCTACAAGATTTTGAATCTATAAGTGAGTATAATTCTGCTATGTTCAGAATTATTTCCCAACTGAAATTATGTGGTGATAATATTACTGATCATGATATGTTGGAGAAAACTTTCACCACTTTTCACGCCTCGAATATGCTCCTGCAGCAGCAATATCAAGAGATGGGATTTAAAAAGTATTCTGAACTTATCTCACATCATCTTATAGCCGAGCAACATAATGGGCTATTAATGAAAAATCATGAAAGCCGATCTACTGGTTCTTGTCCATTCCCTGAAGTGAATGAGACGAACTTTCACCAAGGTAAACGTGGAAGAGGTCGTGGCCCCAGTCATTGTCATGGCCGTGGTCGGGGAAGAAACTCTAATCATGGTAATAATAATGCACCAAAGAACCCTCCTCACCACCAGCAGTGGAAAAGGAAGGAACAAAAGCATGAAGCGGTGCAAGCACCAAATGCAAAAAATGCATGCTATAGATGTGGAGGAAAAAGGTACTGGTCACGTACCTGCCGTACGCCAAAGCACCTGGTTGAGCTTTATCAAGCCTCCCTGAAGAAGACAGAGAAAAATGTTGAAGCAAATTTTATTTCTGAAGATAATTTAGACTTCATGCATTTGGATGTAACTGATTACTTTGCACTCCCAGAAGGAATACAAGTCATGTAATCGGTATTGAATCTGTAGAAATGTAAATATTTTAATTTTTGTTGTTTGTAATAGACAGTATGGTTATGTAATTGTTGTGCATAAAATAAAAGTTATGCTTTGATAATGATGTTCATTATAATATATTTTATTTATATCATTTTGAAGAATATGGATAATTCTCAAATCACGTTTCGATCAAAGACAAATCATGAAGATATTTGTGTTATTGATAGTGGAACAACTCATGCCATATTCAAGGATCAGAAATACTTTTCTTATTTGCATAAGGAAAAAGCAAATGTTTCAACAATTTCTGGTAATATAAGTTTGATTGAAGGCTCCGGAAGAGTCATTATATTTCTCTCTAAGGGAACAAAAGTTATTATAGACAATGCATTGTTCTCCTCCAAGTCCCGAATAAACTTGTTGAGTGATATCCGCCGAAATGGGTATCATGTTGAGACAATAGATGTAATGAACATGGAATATCTTTGTATTACAAAGAATATTTCTAGCTAGAAATGCATTGTAGAAAAGTTACCAACTTTATCTTATGGCTTATACTATTCAAAAATTAGTACAATTGAATCACACTCTATCGTAAACCAAAAGTTTACGGATTCAAATACTTTTGTGCTTTGGCATGGCCGTTTGGGCCATCCTGGATCAATTATGATGAGGCGAATTACTGAAAATTCATGTGGACATACATTAAAGAACCTGAAGATTCTTACAAATGACGAATTTTCTTGTGATGCTTGTTATCAAGGCAAAATGATCACTAGATCATCACCGATGAAGGTTGGCATTGAATCCCCTGCCTTTTTAGAGCGTATACATGGGGATATATGTAGACCTATTCACCGACCAAGTGGGTTGTTTAGATATTTTATGGTCCTAATAGATGCATCTTCAAGATGGTCTCATGTGTGCCTACTATCATCTCGCAACCTGGCGTTTCCAAAGCTATTAGCCAAATAATTCGATTAAGGGCACAATTCTCAGATTATCCTCTCAAGGCTATTCGCCTTGATAATGCTGGAGAATTCTCATCTCAAGCTCTTGATGATTATTGTCAATCAGTTGGAATAAAAGTTGAACATCATGTAGCTTATGTTCATACTCAAAATGGCCTTGCAGAGTCATTTATTAAACGCCTGCAGTTGATAGCAAGACCACTACTTATAAAAACAAAATTGCCCACTACTGTTTGGGGCCATGCTATCTTGCATGCAGCATCACTTATCCGTCTCTGATCGACACATTATAATAAATATTCTCCGTCACAATTAGTTTTTGGTCATGAACCAAATATGCCCTTCTACGAATTTTTGGATGTGCTGTATATGTTCCAGTAACACCACCACAACGCAGTAAGATGGGACCACAGAGCAGGATAGGAATATATGCTGGGCTTGAATCACCCTCTATTATTCGCTATTTTGAACCATTGACAGGAGATTTATTTACTGCTCGATTTGCAGATTGTCGGTTTGATGAAACAATTTTCCCACAATTAGGAGGGGAGAAAAAGGAAATCAAAATAGAAATTGTGTGGAAAGTTTCATCATTATCTCACTTTGATCCACGTACCCCTATATGTAATCAGGAGGTCCAGAAGATCATCCATTTACAGAATATAGCAAATCAAATGCCAGACGCATTTACTGATTTGAAAAGGATAACTAAGTCACATATCCCTGCAGAGAATATGCCTATCCGAATTGATGTCCCAGTAGGACCATCTACTAGTATGAGAGCTAGTGAACCTAAAGCACGCTTGAAGCGTGGTAGGCCTTTGGGTTCTAAGGATCGAAATCCTCGAAAAAGAAAATCGACAAATGATCAAAACGTTACTATGAAGGGATTTCCTGAAGAGACTCAAGATCTGATTAGTTCTGAGATTCCTGAAGAAATCAATGAACCTGAAGCTCAAGTGAGTAAGGAACTTTTAATAAGTTCTACAAGTGATGGGATTAATTTAAATCGATCTAAAATAGTGGTGGATAATATTTTTGCATGTAATATTGCACTTAATATTATGCAAGATAGTGAGGATCTTGAACCCCGATCTGTCGAAGAATGTCGACAAAGATCTGATTGGCCAAAATGGCAAGACGCAATTCAATCGGAATTGAAGTCAGTTGCTAAAAGAGAGGTCTTTGGACCAGTAGTCCAAACACCTGCTGGTATAAAGCTAGTTGGTCATATGTGGATTTTGTGCGAAAAAGGAATTATAAAAATGAAGTTGAAACATACAAATCTCGCCTTGTCGCACAAGGATTCTCACAATGACCTGGAGCCGATTATGAAGAAACATATTCACCTGTTATGGATGCCATAACATTTCGATATCTCATCAGTTTAGCCTTACGTGAAAGGCTTGAAATACATCTAATGGATGTGGTTACAACTTATCTGTACGGATCACTTGATAATAAAATTTACATGAAAATCCCTGCAGGATTTAAAATACCTGAAGCATATCCAAAATCGCGGGAAATGTACTCAGTTAGATTACTAAGATCTTTGTACGGTTTAAAGCAATCTGGACGCATGTGGTATAACAGCCTCAATGAATATTTGCTGAAAGAAGGTTATATAAATGATGTTAATTGTCCATGTATTTTTATAAAGAAAATGGCTTCAGAATTTGTTATACTTGCTGTTTATGTTGATGACATAAATCTCTTTGGAACTCCGGAAGAGCTCCAGAAGGCAATTGAATATCTTAAGAAATAATTTGAGATGAAAGATCTTGGAAAGACAAAACTTTATCTTGGTCTGCAAATTGAACATTTAGCAGACGGGATCTTTATCCATCAATTTGCCTATACAGAAAGGGTCTTAAAACGCTTTTACATGGACAAAGCGCACCCATTGAGTACACCAATGGTTGTTCGATCACTTGAAGGGAATAAGGATTTGTTCCGACCTCCAGAAGAGGATGAGGAACTCCTTGGTCCCGAAATACCCTATCTTACTGCAATTGGTGCACTAATGTATCTTGCTAATGCTACAAGGCCTGACATAGCATTTTTTGTTAATTTACTAGCAAGATATAGTTCTTCTCCTACACGGAGACATTGGAATGGGATTAAGCATATATTGCGATATTTAAATGGAACTCTTGATATGGGTTTGTTTTATGCTAACAAAGATAGTGCAGATCTTGTTGGTTATGCAGATGCAGGTTATTTATCTGATCCCCATAAAGCTCGATCTCAAACGGGGTACATATTTACATATGAAGGTACTTTCATATCATGGCGCTCCACAAAGCAATCTATTATTGCTACTTCTTCATATCATGTTGAGATAATAGTTATTCATGAAGCAAGTAGGGAATGTGTATGGTTGAGATCAATAATTCATTTTATTTGAGAAAGATGTGGTTTGGAATGTGAGAAAAGACCCACAATTTTATACGAAGACAACGCTGCATGCATAGCCCAATTGAAGGGGGGATTTATAAAAGGAGATAGAACGAAGCATATTTCACCAATATTATTCTACACACACGATCTTCAGAAAAATGGTGACATTGATGTGCAACAAATCCGGTCAAGTGACAATCCGGCAGATTTATTCACCAAATCTTTGCCAACTTCAACTTTTGAGAAGATGGTATACAAGATTGGAATGTGGAGACTCAAATATTTGAAACAATATTTTTATCAGGGGGGTAAAATACACGATGCACTCTTTTTCCTTACTAAGGGTTTTTCCAACAGGGGTTTCCTTATAAGGTTTTTAATGAGTCACCTAGCAATAAGTATTACTAAATATATGTAGTCTTTTTCCTTCACTAGAATTTTTACCCACGAGGTTTTTTTCCTAGTAAGGTATTAATGAGGCACATTATCTTTTAATGAACATACAAGGGGGAGTGTTATAAATATATTATATTATGGATGTTCATTTAGTATTCCGTTGTAAATAAGCTTCCAGAAGAAGCTTATCCATATGGGACTCCGCCGTAAATACGTTTATCTATTTAGTACTCTATTGGAAATAAGCCTCCTGAAGAAGCTTATCACTTTGGTACTCGATTATGGATAAACATTACCCACGGTAGAAGATTATCCATACTGGGTACAATAAGCTTATCCTTTCGATACTCCGTTATGGATAAATATTACCTCCGGTAGAAGATTATCCATACCGGGTATAATAAGCTTATCCTTTCGATACTCCGTTATGAATAAACATTACCCCCGGTAGAAGATTATCCATACCTGGTACAATAAGCTTATCCTTTCGGTACTCCGTTATGGATAAACATTACCTCCAGTTGAAGATTATCTATATCTAGTATAGTAGCAGCTTACACTGTAGAATGCAGTAGCAGCTTACACAGTAGCTTGCTTTCTTCTATAAATCGAGGAGATTTTAGTTTATTATGTACATAAGTTTGAAGTTGAATAATATATCAGTTTCTCTCTATACTTGTCTTTAGTTTATTTACTTTACAGTCGTTATTTTATAACAAGTTCTTGTTTTTTTTTTCTTCACATTTTTGCTTCTGCTCTTCTGTTTTTTGCTTAATTCATTAATTCTATTTTTTTCTATTCTATATACTCCAAAAATTTTATGCTATTTTTTCTAATTAAAATCCTATGCCTCGACATTATGTAAGGGGTGCACTTTAGTTGCTTCGGCTTTCACCCTTGTCATTGTTAAACTCGTTGATCTTTTGCTCATGTTTAGCTGTATAATCAACTTACATGCATTTGTCTGAATTTTGATTTAAATTCAACTATCTTCTGGCACCACTAATTAGCTTGTTTCTCCTTATAATTAATGAAAAGATTTTAAATTTTGTCAAAATAGCAGCTTAAAAGTATCTTGTAAGTGAAAAATACGAGAGGGAGAACTTATGTAAGTGACTTAACTTTAGAGCATCCAAATTATTTGGTAAGGTGTGACACGAATCTAGCAGTAGTACTCTCTCGTCTATCAATTGTTGCAATTTAGTTGTTTGTCAAGGTGTGATACATGAAAATATATTTGTCTCG